AGGTGTACAAGTATGAAATGCGGATTTGAGAAAACAGATGGCGCATCAATGCAGTGTGTGGTATAAAGATTTGATTGTTATGCCATTTTGAAGTGCCATCAACAAGTGTCAGACGCGCACGAGTGATAAATTGAAAAAGTGTTTGCATAGTGTTGTGTTGCTGTGTTCGATATGTCGAAATTTATACCAAAGAGCATTCGCGGACAGCATTAATTTTTTGTTTTCATTTGAAGAAAACTGCTGCTGAATCATACCGGTTCCTTCGAGAAGCTTATGGTGAACATGCTCCATCGCAAGATACGTGTGAACGATGGTTTCGGCGTTTTAAAAATGCTGACTTCGATGTTGCAGACAAGGCAAACACGAAAAACCGCCAAAAAGGTACGAAGATGTGAAATTGCAAGCATTGTTGGACGAAGATGATTCACAAACACAAAAACAACTCGCAGAGCAATTGAACGTTAGTCAACAAGCTGTTTCCAAGCCTACGAGAGATGGGAAAGATTCAGAAGATGGATATCGCATGAGTTGGACGGCAGGCAGATGGAGAGGCGCAAAAACACATGTAAAATTTTGCTTGCACGATACAAAAGGAAGTCGTTTTTGCATCGTATCGTTAGTGGGGATGAAAAGTGGATTTATTTTGAGAATCCCAAGCGCAAAAAATCATGGGTAGACCCAGGCGCACCATCCACATCGACCGCAAGACCGAATCGCTTTGGCAGAAAGACGATGCTCTGTGTTTGGTGGGACCAGAAGGGTGTGGTCTATTATGAGCTGTTAAAACCTGGTGAAACGGTTAATGCTGGACGCTACCAACAACAATTGATCGATTTGAACCGTTCGCTGCTTGAAAAAAGACCAGAATACCAAAAGAGACAACACAAAGTCATTTTTCTTCATGACAATGCTCCATCACATACGGCAAAACCGGTTCGCGACACGTTGGAAGCACTCAGCTGGGAAGTTCTACCCCATGCGGCTTACTCACCAGACTTGCTTCCTTCCGATTACCACTTGTTTGCATCGATGGGTCACGCACTTGCTGAGCAGCGCTTTGGTTCGTACGAAGATGTGAAAAAATGGCTCGATGAATGGTTAGCGGCAAAGGGGGAAGATTTTTACTGGCGTGGTATCCACAAATTGCCCGAAAGATGGGAAAAATGTGTAACTAGCAATGGAGCATACTTTGAATAAAGCTCTTTTTATCATTCTTCCGAATTTAACGTGCTTTTTTTTTTTTTTAAATCCGCATTTCATACTTTTACACCTAGTACTCCCAATGCTTTTAGAACTTGGAAGCGAACAAGGGAGTCGGAAGTTATTAAGTCACTGTGACACTATCACACATAAATAGATTGACCAGACGTTCAATTTTTTCCGAACATGTACTCGTTTTCTTAGAGTGTTCAGCCGGGTTTTAGTGTGTTTAGATGTACTCATTTTGAAAGAAAGCGCAAGCAAAATACTATATATCTGCAAAAAATTTAAAAACTATTAAGTATTATTATATCATATTAAGGGGATGCTGGATTGCCCTGTTTTACCAACAAAGTGTGATTAATTTTTCCCGGCTCGTTTCTCTTAATTGCACTTACGATTGAAAAGTCCTTCTCTATGATTAAAGTATGGACAACAATACAGACTGCCAGCTACAATTTAATACGAAAAACAAAAGAAAATTAAAAATTGTAGCTTTGTCACCGGCTCCTGCAGTCGACTCGTCGCAGTATGTGCTGCATATAAGAGTTCCAGATTTTACCCGTTTAAAATAAGTAGCCAGCAGCCTACAGAAAACTTTGAAGAACAATACTATGCCTGTAGAAATGAGCTAGGAACTTTAATATAAGAGAAAAGAGTCGCCAAAAATTTCGTTCATATGCTACGAATAAAACTGACATGAAGCTATGACATTGAGCACTATTTTAGTTCCTCGACAACGGCGCTGTCATCAAATGTGCCTCGCTGGATCAGCAGAAACGATCAGAATTATCGACCTACTGAGGCTCGTAACAAGCTTCTTACATGCCTTAGTTAAAATTTTTTCTCTTGAGAGGAAAAATAATAATAAAACAAATATGATATTAGTTATTTCAATTTTTGTGTATAAATAATGTCTTTATAAACAAAAAATATACAATATTATTTACATATATTATATTATTTTTGATTGATTTTCGACTCTGCTCAGATGCCGAAGCGTTGAGCAACAATTTCACTCGTAGCATACAAATGAAATTTTTGTAGACTCCGTTCTCTTATACTAAAGCCCTTAGTTCATTTCTACAAGCATAATATTGTTCTTTAAGATTTTCTATAGAGCGCCAGCTACTTATTTCAAACGTACAAAGTCTGAAATTGTTATATGCAGCACATTTTTTACTTGGCTCGGATGTAAAAGTGTCAAACGGCACTTAGTAGGAAGTGTCATTTCTCTTATCGCCCGCGCGCAAATATAGAAATAAATTGAATCATTATGTAACCAGCAATTATATTATATTATCAGTTGGAAACGT